CTGCCGGCGCTGTCGCGCTGGGTCGATGGTAACGTGCAGTTGCCTCTCCACCACTGTGAACCGTGGTCTGCAATGATCGAGTCACTCGAAATTGGACGCACAATTCACGAGCTCACGCGGTTGTTCACGGCGCAGAGTACACGGACACGCTGTCGGGCGATGCATTTGCGATTCTTCGCGACGATCTCTTTGCCGAATTGCATGGCGTCGTTCGGTACCGTCACTCTTGACCGACGAAATGATCGCCCAGACACCCAGACCTGACGCCGTCGACGTTTCCCAATTAGTGCTGTCGGCACCATCCCGCTCGGCATTGTCAACCGGCTCTTCGACATGGTTCTCTCGGGTCTGCAGGCCATGGTCGACGCCTGGGACGCGCACATTGGCGACGGCGACATGCCGCTCTCGCAGACCGACATGGAAACCCCGAAGCGCGCACTGCTGCGGTGGCTCGCGCTCATGCAGACACTCGTCGTGACCGCCGAGCACCGGTCGATTCACGCGCAGTCGCTCGCAACCGTGGCCACGGCCAGTACCGGGGCCAGTGGTCGCGCCAAAAAGGCACCCGCGGCGCCAGCGCGCAAAAAGGCCAAGGGCAACGTGATTGCCGAGCAGGACTGGGAGTGGGAGTCGCTCAAGATTCGCACGCTGCGCGCCATTCTCAACGTGCTCGAACTGCCGCTCGGCCGGTTTTTAACGGACGCGGAGCGCGAGGAGGCGGTCGGCACCGTGACCAAGCCTCTCAATGAGCTGTGGCAGAACAAGGACCGCACGAGCTTGAAGTGCGCGCCGTTGAAGAAGCTCATGTTCCAGGCCTACGCGACATGCATTGTTGCGCACGGCTACGGTTCGTCTTCTTTGCAACTCTCAATATTCGTGCCCGGTTTTTCACGAACGCCGTCCACCCATTCGTAGACGCCCAGGTCACGATCGAGCAGAACCTCAAGTTCTTCGAGTTTCTCGCCGAGCCCATGGCCGAGTTCTTGCACTCCCTCGAGTCGGATCGCGATGTGACCAAGCTGACCGCCGACCTGCTCAAGACGATTGGCCAGACCGAGTACACCGACTCGAGCCACGCCAAGTCGATTGCCACCTTCTTGACGGCACTCTCCGACAAGTGCCCGAAATCGGTGTTGCGGAATCTCGTCTACCTCAAGGCGCAGCTCGACTCGCCCGAGTACCCGCTGCGGTCGGCGATTCTGCAATGTGTCGCTGCGGCGATCCAGCACCTGTTCCAGACCGACGAGACGGACCACGTTGCGTCGCTGATCGAGGTGATCAAGGAGCGGTACCGCGACGTGACGGCGCAGACGCGCAAAAAGGCGCTGCAAATCACGAGCGAACTGCTCGGGTACAAGTACTTTTACGCCAAGTTCCCGGACCCGTGGTTCGACCTGCTGCGACTCGCCGTGTCGCGGATCCAGGACAAGAACCAGCCCGTGCGCGCGTCGGCGATCAAGACCGTGACCCAGTTCTTGCACCGGCACCCGTTCACGCTGCACGGCGAGACGCTCGCGCGCGCGCCGATCGAGGCCAAGGCCGCCGAGATCCGGGACCAGCTGAAAGTGTTTCTCGACGACGCCGAGCACGCAGACGAGGTGGACGCGGGTCAGTTGAGCTTGCTCGAGGCGCAGCACAAGTACTTTACGCACCTGGCTCAGTTCCTCGACCAGCTCGAGCACCAGGCGATCCCGTACCTCGCGCAACTGCTCGCATCCAAGAACAAGGCCGAGGTGATTGACACGATGGATTTCTTTGTCGAGGCGCACGCGCTCAAGCTGCCGGGCGCCGTTGTCGGGCTCAGCAAAATGTGGCACTTGGTCTTCAACGTGCGCAACTCGGAGCACCTCAAGGACATTCACGCGCACTTGATTGCGTGCTTTGATGCCGTCTACCTGTCGTCGGCTGCCACCGTCAAGCAGACCGCGCCCGCTGGGTTGAGACAGCCGGACGTGAACCTGATCGTGCGCAACTTGATTACGCTCACCTACGACAAGACGCTCGCCGACTTGACGTGCCTCGATAAGATTGTCGGCATGTGCCGGCAGGAACGGCTTATTGACGATCGCGTCGTCGCGCACCTGTGGACGATTTTCTCGGCGACCAAGGTCCCCGTCCCGCTCAAGCAGCGGCGTGGGGCCACGCTCGTCCTGTCGTGGCTGTGCCACGCGGAACCAGCACTGCTCGGCGCAGACCAGCTCATGCTCGTTCTGCGCGGCCTGCGCGCGAACCGCGACTTGATTTTCGCGCGGTCGTGCTGTCAAGTTCTGCAGACCCTGCAGTGCCGGCTGCCCATGGACCACGAGCTGTTTGACGTGATGCAGGCCGTCTTGCTCGAGGCGCCCGCGCCGCGGCACAGCGCATCGGCAGCGTGGTACAGCACCGCGCAGCAGGTGATCAAGACCATCTACGCGATCTGCCAGCAGCCGATGGCCGTGCTCAACCAGGTCATCAGGACACTGTCGCAGGTGCTCTACGCGCCAACCGCGCGTGCCCCGCTCGACCATCTGTGCCGGCTGTTTTTCGTGCTCGGGCACACGGCGATCCAGCAGCTCGTCTACCTCGAAACGATCGAGCTCGACTACAAGCGCAAGAAGGCGGCCGAGCCGGCGGCGGCGCCCAAGGCGCGTGCGCGCAAGACCGCGAGCCGCAAGTCGACGCCGCAGCGCGGGCGGCACGCGCGGCGGCGGTCGACGGGAGGGAACGTGACGGGTGACGACACGGATGCGGGCGCCGAGACCGATAATGATCTCGAGCAGGTGGTCGGGTCGGCCGAGGACGTGTTCACCGATAATCTCGCGGCCGTGCGGGAACTAGAACTGTTGCAGGGCGCATCGAGTCTGTTGGCGGCCTTCGGCCCGCTCGTGCGGCACGTCACGCAGGACCGGAGTACGCCGCCGCAACTGCGCGTGTTTGCGGCCACGTGTCTCGCGCAGTTCATGTGTCTGTCAGCGCAGTTTTGCGAGGAAAATTTGCCCGTGTTGAAGCAGGCCCTGCGCGACGCGCCGAGCGGGCTCAAGTCCAACTTGATGGTCGCGTTTGGCGACCTGATTGTTTGCTGGAACACGGTCATTGACGAGGATGTGAACGTGCTCTACGACGCGCTGCGGTCGGCCGAGGCTGGCGCCGTCAAGAAGAATGCGCTCATGGTCCTGCTGCACTTGATCTTGAACGGCATGGTCAAGGTCAAGGGCCAGCTGTCGGCGCTCGCCATGTGTCTCGAGGACCCGGACGACCGCATTGCGGGGCTCACGAGATTGTTCTTGTCGGAACTCGCCGCCAAGGAGCAGGCGCTCTACAACAACTTGAGCGACGTGCTCTCGCACCTGTTCATTATCGGGTCCGAGTCGACGAACGGCGACGCTGCCACCGCCGCTGCTCCTGCCGCCGCCGCTCCCGCCGATGCGGATGGCGACGCTGCCGACAGCGACGGCGCGTTTGGCCGCCCCGCGGCCGTCGACGAGCAGGCCGTGATGCGCGTGCTCAAGTTTTTGCTCGGGTTCATCACCAAGGAAAAGCAGACGGAGAACCTGATGGACAAGCTGTGCCAGCGGCTCAAGGAATCCGAGTCGCCGCGGCAGTGGCGCGCGATCATGTACGCATTGTCGCTGCTGCCGGTCGACACCAACCCGGAGGTCAAGACGCGCAAGCTGCTCGAGCACTTTGCGTGCTACGCCAACAAACTGCACGAGGACGGCGTCTACAAGTTCGTCATGGATATTGTTGCCAAGATTGGCCGCGCGAATGCCGGCGGGGTCGGGAAGCCCGCGGCGGGCGCGTCGGCGAATGCTGCGTTGCAGGAACTCACGGAGAAGATTGGCCAGGCGCGCAATGGGTTCGTGGCGGTACGTTTTGATGTTTTCGAGCTGGGCAGGGAGGTGGGATCCGAGTGCTGACGTTCGGTTCGATTTTATCCAGGCGGGTACGACCTCGGCATCACCCGACGCTACGGGTGCTGAACCCGATGCACCTCCCGCTCCACCAGCAGCAACAGCAGCAGCACGGGCAGCAGCAGCACGGGTCCGCGGCGGTCGGGGAACTGGCAAGGCGGCAAGGGGCCGACGCGGTGCTGCGGCGCGGACGACCAGGACGGCTGCCGCTCGACGGAGGCGAGCTGCCCACGCGTCCGACTCGGAAGAGCAGGAAGACGAGTCCATGGACGAGGACAGCGATTGAGGAGGACCGTAATGAATTCATTTGGTTTCTGCTGAAGGTGCGGATCACAGTGGTTTCGGAGGTGGCGAATGACAAGCGGGTGATTAGGGGTGGAGGATGGCCAGGGCAGCGAGCTGGTTGGGTGTGCCAACAAAGCGAGCAATAAATGACCACAGCAGGGGTGCGTGTGCGCGACACGATCCAAAGCCTTCAAGTCCGTTCGTTATCCTGCTACATCCCATCCCATGCCAAAGACGCGTCGTCGCACGCGCGCGACAGCTGCAAGCCTGCAGTGGTCGGGGAATCGCAGGAGTATAAAAAACAGCTCGAAGGGGTACAATACGGGAATGACGTGGTCGACCGACCCGAACGCGTCGGCACCGCTGGGCGTCTTCGGTCCGGTCACGAGCACACCATCCTCTTCGTTCCAACACGGCCGATCCGCGTGAACCCCGTGGCCAAAACGGATGGAGAAGACGCGCAACTGCCCGCCGCCTTCACTCACTGTCGCATCGCACGACTCGAACGGGACATGTTTTCGGCTTCACTCGCGCGTCATTGATCCCAGCCTCTGCGTCCCGTCGTCTGACCCAAACCCACGCGGCGGCTCCTCCTTGCGAGCTTTGATCACTGCTTAGTCTCCACTTGATTCCTGCATTGCTCAGTCGCGTCAGTCCGCGTCGAATCCACCTCTGCCGCTGACCCTCCTCTTGGTCCATTGCGTCGTCTTCGCCCGTGTGGGGCAGTGGTCTGACAACAGCGGGGAAAAGTCGATCGAAAGTGGAGAACGCTGTTGCAATTGATTTTGTGCGGATCTGAAAATGGTTTGATCACACGGGAATCACGGGCGCGTGGTGAAGTGGCTAACACGTGTCCCTCCGAAGGACAAGACCCTGGGTTCGAATCCCAGCGTGCTCGATTATTTTTGTCGGCCAATCCGAATGGCATGACGCAGGTATTCGCAGAGCCCAAGCTTTTGCCAGAGGACGCTGGCGCCATTTGTCCAGTTTCGAGCTTTGCCTTACCTTTTGAAACTGCACCGACTAGTCCCGACAAGTCTCTGATTGTGTCATTACGTTGGAGCCGGAGAGTACTTGGCTGGGACTTTTAAGTCGCAAGGTGACTGGTCCTTGGGTCCCACCCAGCCATTCCCTCTGATCCCTCATGGTCCATGAACTGCGTGAACACATAGTTGCAGAACCAATTTATCGATATAATGTGTAACGTGCACCTGCTAGCAGCACAACGGCTGCGCAAACGGCTCCTTGGCCGGCACCTGGCCTGCCTGGCCCGCTCCATTCCAAGGCGCATCACTCGCCGCCCCATCCGCAGCCATCATCGCCTGCAGCGCAGCTTTCCGGTCACTACCGCGATTGAACGCGTAGTTGCCGACAAACGCGCCAAGCAGGACCATCGCACACCAGCCCCAATTGAACGTCATGACGACCAACATGAGCAAAAACGAAAACGCAATCTCCGTGGTCGCGACGAGCGCGCGCGCGGCGACCAAGAGTTCGCGCTTGATTCCGGGCGTGGCCGCCGCGAGCGACGCCGAGAGCCGCGGGGTCACGACACCCCTCACGACGGCCTGGAGCGCATAGTACGCGAAAGTGACGAGAAACACGCCGACGGAAGCCACCGCGTAGGACCCGGCGGTACGCGTGACCCACGACCGGAAGAGCAACAGGTCGTGCGTGTCCTGGTGGAAGTACATGCGCATCGGCGGGATATCGAGGTCGCCGCCCTCGTCGAGCGACGTTGACGACGACGAGCTGGTAGACGGGGTCGACGAGGACGTAGTCGGCACGGCGGAGCCGTCGAATGCCGACGCGGGGCAGATTTGCGGGAAGTTGTCCTTGGTCGCGGTCGGGTTCGCCTGGCACATCTTTTTCCACGGCACGTTGCACATGGTCATATCCGGCATGGCCTTACACATGGCGACGTAGACGGCGAAACTGTCGCAGTTGGCGAGTTGCGTGAGCGGGACCGAGAGCGACGCAGCCGGGTTCGTGCACTTGTCGCAGCCCTCCTGGTTGGTTTGTGATCAAAAAGCGGTCGGTCAGTTCCACTTTCTGGTGATCACCACCACCACACATCGACCACCAGCCAACGGGAAACACACCATATTGTGCACTTTGCACATGCGGTAAATCTGGTTCTGGTAGACCGTCGAATTCGTCCACGCGGGCCACGCCGTATTGCCGTCCGCGCGGCACTCGCTCGGCTTGGCCGTGCAATACGTCTGGTACTGCGTGCACACGTCGGTCGTTGGGTTGTCGTAGTTGCACAGCGCATCGAGCAGGCTCAACGTCGAGCAGTAGGGCTTGGTCGTGCTGGTCCCGCACTGCGCAAGCAGCGAACACGCGCCAAGCGGCGTCGACGTTGTGGCCGAGCAGAAACTGGTCAGGGCATCGCGCGATGGCGCCGCGGCGGCACTCGGCGAGGCAGATTGCGGGCGCGCTTGGACGGGTGTAAAAGACAGGACGGCGAGAAGGGTGAGGACCGCGACCGCGGCACGGAACAGCAGCTGCACGCGGCGGCCGGGTGGTGGACTCGAGTGGCCGGTGGACATAACCGTCGTGAAGGTGCTGATGCTGAACAGATGGAGGCTGGACCGGGGAGGGAGCAGGGGCAGGGCCTTCTTGGCGACAAAATGACTGCAAATGGAGCTGGAAGCAAGACGCGTCGAGGTCGAGTTGCTCGTCGTGTTGGTTGGCAAGGCCGCAGCAGCAGGGGCCCACGGTGCGCGCGGGGCGTGGGAGAATTTGAAGGTGGAGAGGACGGGAGCGGAGCAGGTCGGTCGAGCAACACGCCGTCCTTCACAACGGCCACTTCCGGCCTCGCGCCGCAGTCGGGTCTGTTGTTTGACGCGCGGTCGCTTCCACTCGCCGTCCGAACGCGGGCGGTGCTCTCGTCGTGCTCATCGCGTCGCTTTGCAGCTGGTGGCGCCGACAAGCAGCGGCATTGTCGAATGGTGGACTGGCACGAAATCAAATTTGGGGGACAAAATCAAATCAACCGCTTCCTCGCGTCGATTTGCCCCTGGCTTGGCCAGACCTGCCCCGGGGGCAGCTGGCCAGTGCTGGATTGCATCCGCAGAAAGAGCCAAAAAGGGCCAAAAAGAAATGGATTGATGATATATTTACAGAACCATGGCGCCCACGACGGTCACGACGACCGCACCGACCGCGGCCGCGGCCGCTGCAGACCGACCTGCTCCCGGCGCCGCGGCCGACTTGGTCTTGTCGCTCCCACCCGAGCCCGCACCGGCCTGCACAAACGTCACGTCGCCGCACTGGTAGAGCACGCCGTCGCCGGCATCGTAGGTCGTCATGATCGTGCCCGACTTGCCAATCAAGTCGGTCGACGACTTGAGCCCGAGCGACGCGAGCGCGCCTGCATCCAACTTATCCAGCGGCGCCGCGACCGTTTGGTTCCCGAGCTTGGCCACGTTCGTGTCGAGAATCTTGACAAAGTCCTTGACGGCGGCGGGCTTGTCGTTGAGCGTCAGATAAACGGAAAACGCCGCGTTCGTGTGGAAGGCGTTGATGGTCAAGTCGGTCCCGGGCACCCACGGCGTGCGCGGCTGCTTGACGTCGTTGGCACCGCCACACGGCGGCTGCACCATCAGCGACTCGTCGAGAAGCCGCGTCGGCGGCGCCGTCAGGACGTAGTGCGCGTGCGCGGCGTGCGCGGCCGCGAGGGCGAGAACGAGCACGAGCACAAGACTGGTTGGCGACGAGAGCGGCATGGCGGGCGTGGAAATGGCGAGCTGGCTCGAGTGCGGAGAGAAAGACGCGGGGAGAGAGGAGGAGCGGTGAGGAAGATGCCGTGATTGCGGCACAAGGGTCATTTCGAGCGGCAAGGGATCGAATTTGGCCTCGCATCACGTGCACTCCTCAACCGACCACTCCCCAAACGTGACCCACTTCGCTTCAACTTCACGAATCGCACCAAACACGCCTCGAAACAGCCGAAATGGCGCCACTGCTGCGTGCATGCAGGCGCGCGTGGGGGGGCCAACGAGGTCCGCTTCGAGCCGACAAGGTCCTCTTTCGTACTGCCGCGGTCGGAGCGCTCGGGCCGGGCAGATCCGAGCTGATGAGCGAATCGAGTGCGCGGTCGGTCGTGCAGGCCTGCATGCAAGTCGGCGAGGTGTGAAGAGGGAGCCATGGCGAGCAGGGTCGAGCGTGAAGGCGAGAGGTGCGTGACGAGATGACCTAGCGGGGACGAGAGCGAGTCGCAGCAATGGACGAGCAAGCCGTCTGTGCGGACACGCGATGGACGGTGCTGACGGTCGTGGCGCTCAACGGCAAAGACTCGGGCAAGCAAGACAAAACTCATGTTCAGCCCATGACAGCAGACACGTCGAGTCCATTTCAGCATCGAGCATGCTTGGAGCAGTCGAGGACTCTCGACTGGCGCGAATGGGAGCAGGCAACGAGCGTCGCGGCGCAGAGCTGGACAGTTGGAGAAATGATTTGCACTTGGAGTCGCGAAAACTTGCTGGTTCGTCACGAGACGGGCATACATCGGCCAAGCTGGTTCATCGTGACGGTTGAGCGGAGGTGGGTTGGCGACACGAGCGTGTACTCGAGCAGCGATCCATGGTCGAAGAGCGGGCGGGATGCGGCGCGCGTTGGTCTCCCAAAAAAGGTGGAGAGCGTTGCAAGAGAAGAGAAGAGGCCGACCTTGGACGGCGCGAGGGGGCACTTGGTATTTATATTCATGGATGAGGGAGGGGCCAGCCAACAAAAAATCGCGCAGTGGTTGGCTGCCAGTGCCAGCTGTGCGACATGCTGGGATGCGCGACCCCGAATCCGACGTCACCTTCGGACGAAATCCCACTTTCTCCCTCGCAATCCCATCCCGCTCCCACCACGTTGCTCGTCGAGCACATTGAGCAACACTGCAGCTTGAACCCGCCCGGCTCACTCTTGGCTCGAGCGCCTGCAGTCGATGATCCCTGTCGAAAATTTACAAGTTGAAGCCAACACGGCTCCATTGGCAACATGCAGCAATCACTCGCGCTTGGCTACACGTCTGCACGACCGTCATCCGGCTTGGGCGCTGTTGCGGCCACCGAGAACGATGCCGACGACGACCACTCGCTGGCTGCGCTGATCACGCCCGACCGGCTGTGGGATCGCACCGCAAGCGCCTTTGCCAACGTCTTTGAATCGCTCCTCGGGCGCGACACGCAAGTCAAGCTCGGCCAGCTCCGCACGCTGCAATCCGGGCGCACGCACCGCGCCTTGTCCAACGAAGACGTTCAAGCAGCTGTTGAGCGTGTTCAAGGCGCGCCAGTACTGCGCAAGCGTGACGACGGCGAGCCGACGGCACTCGACAAGGAGCAACGCAAGACGCTGTCGTCGGTCTTGTCCGCCGACGCTGGGACCGTGGCAGACGTCGAACAGTCGGTTCAAGCCGACGTTGCGCCGCGAACGGGTACGGTGGAGAGCACTCGTTGCCGCGAAATCGGTCATTTTCTGACGATCATGTCGCCCTGGGTCCCCCACAGGCTCGCAGTGCAGCGGCGTCGGCATTTACCAGTCCTACAATGGCCCGCTGGTCCGTTCACGCTCACGATTTGTGCCAACTGATGAGCTCGACTGACTGATTCCGCGTCCAGTACAATTGCGCCGGCAGCTATGAGTCGGCCGCGTCGATGCGCGACCTGACACTCAAGCGCGTCGCCACCAGCCCATGCGACGCGTGCGCCGTGGGGGACGCTGCGTGCCAGTCGACCTGCTGTCCAAAAGCCGTCGACGCGGTACGGTTTCCACTCGCTCGCTCATCTTCTCGTTTTCGCACCCGGTCGCGCACCTCACGTCCCCGCATTTCAATCTCGACCTAGGCAACCTACCGGTGCATCTGCCCCATGACGCGCATCGGCCGCGACTGCGAGCAACTGCGCCCCGTCTCGTGCACTGTCACCTCGGACCCGACCGCGGGCCTCGACCTCGCGTGCGCCGCCAACTCGGCCCCGCTCCCACCGTTCGCGTCCGCCCTCCCACCCTGCCCGCGCGTCGCGTCGACGGCACGCGCCGTCCCGCTCGCCTTCCGCACGCGGTGCGCATTCGTTACGCGGCCCAACGTGAACCTGGCTACCGACTCTGCGCAATTCTCTTACGTGTACCGCAACAACGACTCGTGGGCGGTGCGCGACCGCGCCGACATGACGCTGCGCGTCGCGGCCGTGAGCCCGCACATGGTGGGCAGTGCGCGGCACCGCGCGGGCGCCGTGGTCGTGTCCGTCAGTTACGACCAGGCGGCGGGTCAAGACGGTACGGTGCCGCTGACGGTGCCGTTTGAGGTGGCCGACGTGACGCGGCCGAGGATGAAGGCGTGGGTGAATGGGATTGTCACGACGCGGCCCGTGTTTTGGGTAGGGGGACGGATTATCGTGGAAGCCGGTACGTGGCGACTGTCTGGTGATTGCGCTCGGCCGTGTTGGTTTCTCACCACGACCACGCGCTAGAGCTGATGGGCGTGCCGGGCGTTTCGACGCAGTGGGTCGGCCGCCCGGTCTTCACGGCGTTTTTGGGCACTACCGACGCGCCGCAGGACGTGCTCGAAACGGTGCGCGCGTCCAAGATTCTGGCGGCTGGCGCGTCGACGGGTTACTCGACGGGAATCATACTCGTGATTGGGATGGGCGTACTGTACGTTCATTCTCTCGCACCGTCTATCTGCTGCCGCCGTTCCTCGACTGACATTGCGTTCCATTCAGGTTGGGACTCGGGATCTTGTGGATTGTTGTGAAGACGCTGCGGCAACGGCCAAAACTTGTTGAATAACGCCAACAAAAACGCTCTCCTGCCTTGCCGCGGATCAATCGTCGACGGACTGCATTTTCTAACATGTGGGCACGGAAGACGCAGATGGATGGCTCAGTGTTGCGGCAACCGCTCAAACCCGTTAAATAAAGCCAGCAAAAGAATGCACTTGTTTTTCGCGCCCATGTATCTTCAGAAGGAAGGCAGGTATAGGTTTCTCCTCATTGTGAGTCGGAGTAACTAATGACATCCATACTTGTTCATCAGGAACACACGGCCGCAGAGCAGGCCATAAGCGAGCAATTTGTTGGTCTTGCCAAGATGTCGTTGCTATTTGACACCCAACCGGCACGGAATCAACGGCGCTCGAAAGCATCGTTGAAAAGCCGGGTGAGCTCTAAAAAACAACCGGGATCCCCGCCGGGAGGAATAACGCTAGGCCGTTGTCGCCCGGAAAGGACAAGAAGCCAAGTGCACTATAGCCGGAGTGAAGCAAATTGGAGATCAGAATAGCGGTGTCACAAAATGAAGCAGTCAGAGACCAAAATACGCGGGTTGTGGGTTTGGTTGTTCGCCGTCAATAATCGGTCATGTTTGGGCTGATGAACGGACAGAAACAAGACAACCCCTGCAGCAACTTGCATCAAACAAAAATGTCGAGTTTGGAGCGCGACCTGGCAAAAATATCACTTCCACAACAAAAATTCTTACCAAATGCCAATCATATGGGGACGACGGGGGATTGAACCCCGGACCTCTTGCACCCAAAGCAAATATGATACGACTACACCACCGTCCCTGGTTCGTTGCCTGTTTTAAATATTTGTGTCTCTTAGCGTGAATCTTGCCGCACCGCGGAACAAGGAGTTTGCTAATAAACCTCGTCTTTATACCACTGTCGCTGGCAACGCGGCACAAAAAATTTGCTCATAAGCCTTGTTTACACTATGGAACCCTGCATTTGCCTGCTTGGACGAGTGGAGGAACTTGAATGTCCAGAACAGATGCCTGCAGCAGGGGAGCTTACCATATTCGCCAGGGTTTAGCGCACCCCTCATGTGGTGCATGACAAGGTGGAAGACAGTATTGGAGACAGGGAACCAAGACAGGGTGCACTAAACCCTGGCGAATATGGTACTGGTGGACATGACTGACCAGCAAGAAGGCTTTTGTGATCATTTCACAGCAGAGGCTGCTTGAAATGTCGTTGCATTTGGCCCAGCATGTCTTGCAATCAGAATTTCCATCAACTGCATGTACTGTCCCAGTTTCATGGCCCAGCGCTCAGCTCATCCCATCACGAGTCCTGCTGCATTGACTGTGGTCAGGTTCAGGCGTGTTAGGTTCGCCTGGCCAACACGTTGGAGAAGAAAAAAAAACATAAATCTGGAGTAAAATCTCAATGGTGTGGCCAAAAACAACTCATTCGCCTGGTCGTGTCTTTCATGTGAAATTGCGAGGCGACAGGGATTCGAGCCACGGACCTCCAGTCACCCAAGTACGTCAGATTCATGTGACCATCCCTGCCCAAACACTTGCCGTTGGCTCTGTGGGTTCCGTGTTTCTTCGCCCAAATCCCAGAATCCGACGACCTCCCGCCACGAACATGTATTCCTTCCATTACATTCCACTCGACATCCTTGCCGCGCGCACGCGTCGACCTACGCTACTTGCGCACGGCCACGACGCTCACATCGGCCACTGGACTCGGCCTTGGCACTTGCGTCTGCGACTGCACTTGCGTCTGCGTCTTCTTGGGCTCAGGCACGACCGTCGACGGCGCGGTGCCAACCTTCCACTTGCGCGCAATGATTTCGCGCGCGGTGATCTCGCCGACGCCGTACATGACGCCCCCAATGAACGGCCAAAACAGCCACGTCGACAGGTGCGAGAGCGTCGTCACGAGCCACGGCGGCAGCTTGCCGGCGAGCGAGACGGTGCCGGGGGTCGGCGGTTCGGGCGCGGATGCGGATGCGGGCGCGGGGGTCTTGGAGGGTCGTGGTGCGGCCATGGCGCGTGGTGGTGGTCGGGTTGATGGTCGAGGCGGGGCGGCTGGGAGTGAAATGGGTCGGGTTCGGCGCGGGAACACGTGGCCGGATCGAGGTCGGCGTGTGCGGAACAGGCGAGTGCGGCAGGTCGCGGCGCGTCGGTGGTCGTGCAGCGTCAGGTTGCGTGTGGACGTCGCGGTCGTGGTGGTCGCGAACCACGGTGCCTCTGGTCTTGCGAGCCAAGTCGAGCCAAGTCGCGTCGCCAGAGCGCTTGGCCCCGCGCACGTGCATCTCGCACGTCTCCACTCCTGTCGGCCTACAGCGATCAGCAGCCGCTGCTGCACCTGTTCCCGACGCCGATTTTGCCTGGTCCCACGCGCCGCGACTTGCTGCACTCTGTTCAACCTGGGCACCAACACGATGAGCCGCCGTAATGAAACCGACCGCATGGATGTGGATGGTCTGTCCTCGAACAACACTGCGACCACAAGCCCTCGACCATATGATCATCGACCAACACCTCGACTGCCAGTAGAGTCTTCCGCGTCCTCGTCAGCATCAAGGTCCAAGCACCGGTCGTCGGGCGGGATCCGCCGCGGCCGTGGGCTTGACGCACCGAGTTCGCGCTATGGTCCAACGACGATTCGTCTTTGTCAAAATCCACGACGGCCGCTGATGGGAGCGCACGCCATGTAGACCGCGACGAGGACATGGACTACGAGACCTACACGCAGGCCGGCGCCGTGAACACGGGCCGCGTGCAAAAATGTACCGTCCGCACTCCGCTCGTCCCTCCAGCGCCGTCGCTGACCCACGCGCTCCCGCATCGTAGCCGTCGAGGGCTACATCATTTGCGTGACCAACGTGCACGAAGAAGCCGCCGAAGAGGACCTGCACGACTACCTGTCCGAATACGGCGTTGTGCGCAACCTGCACCTCAACCTCGACCGGCGAACCGGTACGCGCACGCCGTCCGGCCCGCCCGCTTTCCTCTCAGATGTCTCGCTGATCCCACCTGCCGACAGGGTTCGCTAAGGGCTACGTGCTCGCCGAATACGCCAAATTCGACGAAGCGCTCGACGCCGTGCGCGCACTCGATGGGCACGACCTGTTGGGCCAAGTCGTCTCGGCCGACTTTGTCTTTGCCAAGGGGCCGACCAAGGGGACCACGCGGATCGCACCAGAGTAGGGTCAATGTATTCTGGTTTTTGCGCGGCTTGCGCCGACGGCGGCCGGTGATGCACAGACAGCACCCGCAGAAGCGCGCCAGGTAGCTCGACACGGTCACGAGAATCGAGACGGCGTGGACGAGGATGAGGAGCGGCCCGATGCGGGTTGCGGGGTGGAAGGTCCGGTGGAGAAGCACGAGAGCGAGGTCGACGATGAGGAGCAGCTGCCACCACCGGCGGAGCGTGCGGAACCACCACGCAGCACGCGGCGGGAGCGGATCCATGGTCTATGGTGAATGTCGATCAGGTCGCGCGACAAACGAGGATGACAGGATGCAAAGAGCACGCACCGCGCGCGAACCAAACGTCGGGAGAGTGGACCGAATCCGCTCGCGTCACGACAGTTTCCATCGCGCTGATCGCCTGCCTGAGTGCCTGGACCGTCCACGACACGGTCGTCGACACCATCACCACCAAAATCAGGTATTCACGTCCTAAATTTGCGCACCCACGCACCCAACCCGTCCCAACCCAACCACGACCACGGCTATACACAACCCACCTCCCTCACAGCTCGACCTCGACATCCAGCCCATCCAGCGCGCACAACGCCCTGACCAACTCGACCGCCGTCGGCCGCTTTTCCGGATCCTTATCGAGGCACTGCACGAGCACCTTCCAAATGCCCTCATCCACGAGATCGCCATTCAGGAACCGAACGTACCGCGGATCCTTCGGGTCGGATCCGGGAATCGGCACGCCGCGGCGCTTGACACGCGTGTCCAAGTTGACCGCGCGCGTATCGACTTCTCCCGCGGCATCCGCGACGCGCGAGTGCTGTGCGGGCAGGTTTGCGGGCCACGCGAGAAACCCGCGCTCAATGGCCATGATCATGTGGACCGGCGTGGAACAGCCGACGAACGGGTCGCGCCCGAGAATACCGCACACGTACAAGGTCGCGCCGAGCGCGTACATGTCGACGGCGGCGTTGTAGGGCTGCGGTGTCGTGAGCTCTGTGCGAGACGCGCGCACGCTGGTCGTCAGTTTTTTCCTGATCCACGCGACGCCGTCGACCCGCCCGACGGAGAAAACAACACGTACCTGGCGGCAAATACGCCAACGTGCCCTTACCCAACCCATCCACGAAGAACCCCTCTTCCGGCACGATTTCCGCCGACCCCAAGTCCGACAACTTGATCCCGCGGTACTCGTCCAACAAGATATTATGCGGCTTGATATCGTGGTGCACGATGCGCCGCGCATGCAAGTGGGCCACCGCCTGCGCAAGTTGCCGCGCCCACCGCATCCACAGCCGCCGCCCAATACTCGTCTTGTTCTTGGTGACAAACTGCCACATCGACATGCCCGGACACAACTCGAGCACCAGCGCGTACTCGGGCGGTTTCGGCGGCCTGTACGGGACGACATTCGGCGGCGGTCCAGCCACCGCGGCGGGCGACGCGGGCCGCGACAGGACAGGCGACGACGCGCGCGACGGGACGCGTGACGACGCGCGGCTCCCGCCAATCCCCACGACGTCTTTACCCGCCAACAGTGCCTCCTTGACCGGCGGCTCGTAGACGTAACTCGACTCCAACAACTCTGGCGGCGGCGGGAACCCCAAATTCTCAAGACTCAGCCGGACCCACTTACCACCATCTTCCGCGGGCACGACTGCGGGCGCGTCGACGTGGTTGGCGACATCAATCACATCCACAATCTGCAACACGTACGCGTGCCGGCACTGCGCGAGCAACCACGCCTCGCGTAACCCGCCGAGCTGCGACTCGGGCAATTCGTGCAGGACTTTGACGGCACACGCGCGCGCCGGCGCGCCGGCACACGCGCGCACGGTGCCGCGGTAGACGTGTGCGTGCAGGCCCGTGCCCAATAGGTTTTTCCGGAGCGGGACGTACTGCACGGCGAGTGTCGCCGGGTCGTACCCGGCACGCAAGTCGTCCGTATCCGGTGCCATGTCCGATTGCGCGAGATCCACCGCGGACCGTGCGGCGCGGGTCAAGGCGGGCGGGGCCAGCGGCCGGTGCCGGCCGTCGTCGGTCCATGGCGCGTCGGGCGGGTCCGTGCGGAACACGGGGATCAGGATCGGGGACGAGGCGGTGGAGGACAGCGCGGGCGACCGCGCGCGCCGTGGGGACGGTAACGAGGCGGACGATTCGTCGTCGTCGATGGCGGAAAAGGCGGTCGGGCTCGGGATCAGGTGCTTGGACTTGTACGGCGCGGCCGACGAGGTGGTTGATGCCGTGTCGATGGTCAGCGCGGGCACGTCGGTGGACGGAGCGGCGGAGATGGGGGTCGCGGGCAGGACGGGCGAGGGCGGCGCGTCGAAGATGGATGCGCGCTTGGGCTTGGGTTTGGGCGCGTCTACAGATCGCAGAAAAGAGGTGAGCCGAAGCGTCGCAACGATCCAACCCAAAGTAGACCGTACCGTCCGGTACTGGCGCCGGATACACCGTGAAATCCTCATAAAACACGGAATTCCGGTGCGCGGGCCCCCGTGCCTCGACCGTCTCCGTCGCGGGCGGATCGCGCCCGACAATCATCCCGCGCGCCTTCTTCGCCGGCGGTTTGGTCGGCGCCGGTGGCGGCACGGGCGGCGCGTCGGCCGCGGGCAGCACGCTCCA